TATCAACATTTAAAAAAAACAGGCATACATTTTACCTTAAATTCAACAATATAAATTATGTACGATATTTTTTTTTATCTATCTATATTTATGGATTGACTGTTTAACAGGTGTGCTGCTTCATAACTTGATATAATAGTGTGCGTCACTATAACTCGTACGGACTAATTATAAGGGTAAGTAATCAAAACAATCCATTATTCATTTCTCCATTGAAAAGCATCTTCATAAAACAAAATTGCTTGAAATGCATGAGATACTCTGGCAATGAACAACCGTATGAGATTAATCAGTGTAGATGAATAATGCAAATAGGTTTGGTATTGCATAGGCTAGCCACACGTTATCAATTTATATTTCTATACTAAACAGATTGCACAGTGCGATGAAACCGACTCTGAGAGAAGATGTACTTAGGCCTAAGTGGTATGTAATGGAAGGTGAATAAACGAGGGCTGATTTAGCTAACATGGATATTATTGCAAAACGAATGTCTCGTGTCATCTGTTTAGGATCACCTGAATATACTGATGATAGCGACGAGGGGAATTTCGACGCTAAGATCGCAACTGGACAGGGTAAAGGCCCTGATGAAATAACTGAACCAGTACCAGCTGTTATAGAGAAAACTGAGCTATTGCTGAATGAAAATCAAATGGACAATATTCCTAATGAACATATAGGCGGACAGGATGAAACGGATGAACGACAAGGAGGTTATTATAAGGAAGAGCATAAGGAGGAGGAGGAGGAGGAGGAGGGGGAGGTTATTCAGGATGGTGACGCCATGTGTAAAGGAGAATTTAATTTCAACAACATTACCATCGGGAATGCGATGGTCAAGACTAGCTTCGGGATAGTACATAAAGCATCATTGGCACCTGGAGAGCAACAAGTTTCAGTAATATTTGTACATAAACTGAATCAAAATTTCATCATTCAATTGATGTCATTGGACCATCCCAACCTACTTAAAATACTTGGATACTTTGTTAAAGACCAAAAGAGTTGGATCATTATGGAATGCCCCTCTGAATATAGACTC